TGGTGGTGAACATGATGTAGTCCATGCAGAAATAGAAGTACAATGATGTACACCTGAAATTTTTGCAATGTTATAAACCAATGTTACTGCAATAAAAAAAAAAAAAAAAAGAAATCCAGAAAAATGCATTTCCAACCATAAGGCTTGGGCAGTTTTGTAACAGGAGCTCCCCCAAGGCCTTACCAATGACCACCTGAGAGCTGGTGTGCAGGGTTTCAGAGCACTGACTTCTTACCTACCCAGAGAGGGGCTCTCACCACAGCCCCTTTCACAGGCACCAGCCTCCAATGGATATTCGTGGCCAAGCATGGTTGGTGTAGCAAATTGTAAACTTCCAGGGATATGCCTGGGCCAAGTGCTGGACCACAGTGAGCAAGGCAGTTACACAGAGCAACACCAGGAAGATGCAGTGAAGATAAAGCACCAAAAAATACAAGAAGAAGAGGAGAGAACACTTGCCACCTCATCCTACAAAGCCAGGATCACCCTGACACCAACCCAACAAAGACATCACAAGAAAAGAAAACTACAGACCAATATCTTTTATGAATATAGATGCAGAATTGCTCAACTGAATACTAGCAAATCGAATCCAGCAACATATATAAAAGACCAAGCAGGATTTATCCCAGGAATGCAAGATCGATTTAACATCTGAAAATCAATGTCATATGCCATACTAATAGAATAAAGGACAAAACCGCATGATCATCTCAACAGACACAGAAAAAGACAGTCAACAAAACTGGAATAGAAGGGACTGCCCTCAAACTGATAAAGACCATCTACGAAAAACCCTCGGCTACTACACTCAATGGTGAGAGACTGAAAGCTCTCCCTTTGATCAGGAACAACATCAGGATGTCCTCTCTCACCACTTATGCTCAACATGTCTTCTTAACCTTCATTGCTTGTTAGTGCTAGCACCTTACTGCCTGTGCAATGAAGGCTTTTGCTTTCTTAGACTATTTTGGAGAGTGAAATTTCTGGATCTTGTGAGGCTGCTTCTTTTGCACTGTCTTGGGGATGCCTCTTGCATCCACGGTTAAGCCATAAAAGGCTTATTGGTTTGAGTTGCTATTAAGATATACTTGTCAGTGGCCAGATGATGGATCATTTAAATTGGAAAAACTTCTAAATTGGAAAAATTTTTAGAGAGCTCTCATCATAATTGTTTTATTGGTACCTATGAAAAGATCAAATTAAAAAGGAAATATGAAGAAATAATGACTATCCTTAAGAACTTAATCAAATTTAGGGTCTACCAAAACCCTACTGGTGGTATCCTGACTCAGGGTACAATTAAATTGAGAAAATGTAGAAGTATAAGTGTTGATGAGATTATAAAGTTTGGAATGTTTGAGTTAATTTTGTATAAAGAGGTTATATCAACTTTGTCTGAGTGTGTTTTGAAAATGGACTTTATGTCTGGCTAGGAAGGCTTCCCCTACCCAATATTATAAGACCAAGACCTGTTGATGAAGTCCAAATGGAAGCTATGATTAGACATATAAGAGTGGGTGGAATTCAGATGAAATTTTGTAGGAAAATTGATATATTTACAGGCTTTATGTGAAGTGATTGCATCTTTTTGCCTGATTGTATTATAAATTTTATTGTGGGGATAGACATTGCATCTCACTGTGGAATGTTTCCCCTGCCTGATTGTAAGACAGCATATAAATCTGCCCTTCAGACAATGATAATTAAACATGCTAAAAGGAAGTCATTATAGGATTGCCTGAGCCCACGCTGTATGTAATAAAACCTAGAGGCTAATATCAGGTGCTAATAAAAAAGATAATAAAAGCTCCACCCCAAGGTAAATTGGTCTACTGTTGAATTGTGCACCGGGAAAGAGGGCCTTGGTTAAACACTTTGTGCAGACTTTTAAAGATGTGGTACATTGTCCTAAAGTTTTAAAAACAATAGCTGTGGAGTCTTTGTGTATGTGTGTCTATATGTATGTTATAAATGTAGGATATTTTTCTACCTCCAGACGGTATGGCCAAAAATTAAGAGCTCTGTTTAATTGGCTTAAAGTAAGTGCCTATGGAAATTATTTCTAAATGTAACAGAAATTAACCCAAATGTCTTTCAAGTTAATGTGATATGAAATAGTCTTTGGTAAATAAAAGCTTATTTAAGTTTGTTGGTTTGATTGAAATAGGCGTGTGCTCAGAGTTATCAGCATTGCATATGATGCAGACATGCAGCCTGGATTTACTAGTCAAATAAGTTCATGTTATCTGTTACCAATTTGTTGGTAAAATAACTGCTTAGAATGATAGCTGATTTTGTCTAATGTCTCATAAAGTTTTTGTAGGGAATCTAAACATAATTATTGGAAACAAGTAAACTAAATAGATGTAAGTAAGATAAAAGTTTTTGGGTGAAATTTTTAACAATAATTATGTGTTATGGTATATGTAATTAAAATAACTTCAAAACCTTTTGGTGACTTGAAACTTAGACTTTTGTTAAATTAAGTTAAATGATAAAAAATTTATTGAATATCTAGATCATTTCTAAATAAGATAAAATATTAGACATTAATTATTAAATATAGGTTTATTTACTTTTGGCTTCTTATTACAGAGAAATTAAAATA